TATTGCGGTGCCTGCAGGTTTTCTCCCTTCCCCTCCTGGCTGCCTGTGGAGATGTTTTTTTTTTGGGGGGGGGGTGTCGTGGAGTTGGTCTTCCCAATCCCTGCATCCTAGCAACTGCACCTAAACCCTCCCCCCTCCAAAAAAAACAACAACAACCCAAAAGTTGAGTATTTTTGAGACAGGATTGCTGATGAAGCTTTGAGCTAAAAAAAAGCCTTCCTTTGAGAGAGCTTTTGCCTCGGGGTGAACCCCACCGGGCCCTGTGGCTCCTGCACAGTCCGTTAAAGGGAAATGCCAAGGTGGGCAGGGGTGGAGTGAAGTTGGGGATTCTGGGAGTTGTAGTCCCGCAAAGCCAGAGTTTCCAGACTCTCTCTAAGGCTAAGGCGGGCAGTTGGGTGCAATGTGGCAGAGGGGCCACACGATGGCGCCCACGTTCTAACCCTGGAATGGCATGGCTGGGATGGGGGGGGGCAGGCAGGCAGAGGCTGGCGTTGGCACAGATCAGCCCATGCCCCGTTTTTCTCTTCTGGCTTCTCTGAGTGCCCAAGAATATTCCAACTTCTGTGGTGGGGAAGCGGCGGCTGTAAGGACAGGTATGTGCAGGATTTCAGTGTTTGTTTCCGGGGAATTCATCAACCCCAATGAGTTAAGCAGCCCCCGTGGCCGGTGCTTCCTCTGACAGTGAGATGCCCCTGGAAGGGCAAAAGAGGCCCCCAGCTACACCCCTACCAGGTAAGGTCTCGGACTCACCTGGAGATCCCTGCTTCCCCCCTCCCCGGTGGGTCTCCCCCTTCGGGCATCAGACAAGGTCCAGGTACGGTGGGACTGTCCAGAACCGGGGGGGGCACACACGGTTGGCGAAATGGGGATAACCTCTCCCTCCCCGGACAACCCAGGTGTCGTAACACGCAGCCTGTGACACGGGTCCTTCGAGGGCTTGGAGGCTGGACTGGACTGGCATGGGGGAGAGACCCAGTCCAGGAGGAGAAGAGCCCCCAAACGCTGGCTTTTGAGTCCACATCAGGAAAGCGACCCGCCCGGTTTTCCTTCCCCTCAAAGGCCATCCACACACGCACACCGTTCTGTCCCCCCCCCCGAACCGCGCTGGGCTGGTTTCTCCGCGGGACCCTTGCAAACTCCCCACCCCACTTTGTTCAAAGCAGATTTGGCCCAGCCGCCGGCGCCTTTACATTTGAGCCGTTGTGATGATGACCGAGCGCCATTTTGTTTGCATGACTTTTCTCTCTCTCTTTTTCTCTCTCTCTTGCTCCTTTCTCCTCCCCCCCCATCTGCCTTTTTTCTTCTTTCTTTTCCCGTTTCTCCCACGCTCTTGCGCTCGCTTCTCTCCGCCTGCTTGCCAGTCATTGCTTGTCCCTGGGAAAGCATCAAGTAGGCATGGACGCCGAGGCAGCGCCATAGGAATAGGAACGATAGAAGAGGTGGCTGGTTTTTCTTTCTCTCTTTCTTTCTTTCTGCCTCTTGTTTTCTGGTTTCACCTCCCCCCTCACCCCCCGTACTTTTCCCACGGACTGGCATGCTGGATTCCAACTTCCCCCATCCACTCCCAGTCTTGTTTCTCTGGGTGAAATGTTACTCCTTCTCAGAGTTTTTTTTTGGGGGGGGGCGGCGAAATTGACCTTTGGGGAACCACAACACCCCTAATCCCCCGGATTGATTATCAGCCAAATTCTTACTCTAAACCTAAGGAAGAATTATAGAAATGAGAGGAATGTGCCAGTCAAAAGAGATATGAGTTGATTGCCACAGAGTCAAAGTGAGCAAATTTTTGGGTTCAGCAAAACACTTCTTCAAGATGGATTATTAGCAAAATCAAGAACAGTGTTTTTAAAGCCAAGGAAAAAGTGGGGTGAAAAACTGTGTAGACTGTCTTGAAAATCTGAAACTTCCTGTTCTTCGTTTTTCTTTTACACCTCTGCCTCTTTTCCTCCCTCTCTCTCTGGGTCGCCTTCTGCTAGGTTCCCACCCCCACCCCCGCCCCCATTCAACATTCAGAAGAAGTCTTTCAGTTAATTTAATTGAAGAGATGGCTCACGACTTTGTGGCTTTTTCTCCATTGGCCATAAAGATATTCCTTGCAATAATTGCGCTTTGGATTTTGTTTTTAAAATCTGGAAGGGGGAGAAATAAACCCAGTTGAATTGCTTAAAATCATTCCTTGCTGATTTTCTCCCACTCAGCCCCCCCCCCGCTGTAATGTTAATGACTGTTTTTGTTGACATCCTCCTTTTCAACAAAAAGTACCGGTTTTCCTTGGGATCGGCTTAAAAATAAAATAGAGCATAAGTGTGGGAGAAGGATGGGGTGAACTGTGAGCCGTCCTGTGACACCCCTTTGTACTGCTATTGTTAGATTTTTCTGTTTCCCTGACCCCCTTCCTTGCCACCCACCTTCCTGTCCTCCCTCCTTCCCTCCCTTCCCACCACTTATGGATTGCCCATTGCACCTTAGATACCATGCGCCAATCTCCCTTTCCTGCCTCAGTGCCCCCCAGAGTGGATGGTAGGATTCAGCTGAGCCCCCTGTGTCAGGATAAGGCCGAGTGAGTGCATACGTCTTGAGGCTCACCTTCCATTGCATTCGCTGGGGGTTTGAGTTCCCAGGGGCTCCCTTGGGATCTATGGGACCTGCCGGTCTGAGCCCATGCAGCCTTCTTACAGAGAAAGGGGGTGGAAATAGTTGCAGTTCAGTACTGCCATTAGATGCCCAAGGTCATAGCAGTGCCCGAGGCCACCGGAAGGCACTCTCCTGTTTAAAAAGGAGACCTCGGGCGGCACAAGAACGTAGGCAGAGGGCAGATGCTGGAGGAGCCCGAAGGCCTCTTTGCCTCACCCAGCGGCCAGCCGGTTGCTGCTGCTGGCCCCCCCCCCTAAGCAAGACATGAAGGCGAAAGCCCTTCTCAGGGTCCGCTCAGTGGGAGCTGCTGGTCCTGATCCCTTCTTTCCCTGGGCGTGTGCTGCTTTCCCGCCTCACCCTCCCCGACGCCTCTCCTTTCCCCCAAGTGTGGCCTTTCTGCCTGATGGGCTCCCCTCTCTTGCAGTCTCTGATCGTTCCTGGGAAGAGTCCGACGCGGAAAAAGTCCGGGCCCTTCAGCTCCCGGCGGAGCAGTGCCATCGGCATCGAGAACATTCAGGAGGTGCAAGAGAAAAGGTGTGTGTGTGTGGGGGGGAAGGGGCCAGACGCGTGTCGGGCCATCTCGGGAAGACCGTAGCGTCTCCGCCCCTCTTGTAGACTGGGGTTTATATCTCTGTCTCTCTTTCTTTTTCCTTATTTTGGATTAGGGCATGAAAAAAGGAAGCTGACCTCTGTCTTTTTTTCACCCTACAGGGAGAGCCCCACTGGGCCTCCGAAGACCCCAGACGGCGGCCACATCTCTCAGGAGCCCAAGTCTGAGAACCCGTCCCCTCAGAGCTCGCCAGAGATGCCGACCACCAAGAACAGGTCAGCCCCCCTCCCTCGCCCCACGTACACGCACACAGCGGTCTAGCAAAGGCAGGGGAGTTTGCTATGGACCAGAAATCAGTGTTATGTTCATGGCAGAGGTTCCGCCCCCCCGCCCCGCCCCCCCCGCCCCGAAGCAGTACACCTTGTCAAAAAAACATGGCTCCCTTTAGCCGAAGCTGGCTACAGAGTCAGGCCGGCCGGCCGAGGCATGACAGGGGGCCATCTTTCCTCCCATGGGGCTTGTTTTTCTCTCTCCTCGCAGGGGAGATCCTGCTGCCTCCAAGCCGGACCCTGCCCGGGACTTCTCGCGCTCCTCCTCCAGCGCCAGCAGCTTCGGCAGCGTGGTGGAAGAACAAGAGGGGGGACATGATGACGACCCCGGGATGGTGAGCGACTCTGAAGGACAAGGCTCGGTTCCTGAAAACCCGTGGGCTAGGATGGGCGATAGGGAGCAGTGGGACGGGGGGGTGCTCATCCAGTGTGAAGGCCCAACTTATTTGCAGCTCTCCTTATATATCAAATATTTGACATCTTGCCTGCCTGCCTGCCTGTCACTGTGGAGACGTTCGAAGCAGCTTGCAGGAAATGGAGAAGTGAGTCGAAGAAGGCCCGGAGAGTTTTGAATAAAGCAGAGAAATCCAGACCCTCCAGTTTTGCAGTGTGGGGTTTCGTGATTTTAAGGTGTTGCTTCCATGATATTATTGTGGCTGGCTGTGGCCTGAGAGAGCGTCAGGCAGGACCATTTTTCCTTCTCCAAATAGAACATCCCGTGGTTAAAGGTAAAAGTATCACCGGGGGGTGGGGGAGGAGACACCCCCGTCCCATGCAGGAGAGAGATATTTTTTCTGGTTTATCAGGAAGGGATTGTCCCACAACCTTTCTAGAAAGGGGGTTGAGGGGGGCAGAAGCTTTCCCGTCAGAGAAATAACAGTGCCCTGCCTTGGGACTTTTTCTATCCCATAATGCTTAACGCAGGTTGTCTTTTTGAGAGGGGAAGGGGGAGGATCCATGGAACGGTAGGCTGCCCGGATGGATCGTGGATTCCAAGAATATTTAAAATGCCTTTTGATGCCGAAGAAGAGATCTCCTTTGTAGCATTTGTGGGCCAAAGGGTTAAGGGGTGTATGTGCGATGGAGGAGGTGTTTTCTCTCATACCAAAGGAAGGCATAGTCTCTCTTCTCTCCCCACATAGACAATTATGCTTTCCTTTCTGTGCCCCCCCCCCCCCCCCGCAGGAGAGCCAGTCCTCGTCAGGAACCCCCCACAAGCGAGACTCCTTCATCTACAGCACCTGGCTGGATGACAGCCTCAGCACCACCAGCGGAGGCAGCTCTCCAGGTATGGATGGTTTCCAGACACTTGCAATGTGGGTCCTCGGTTGGAGGCGAGGACGAGAAACCGCCTTTAAAAAAACACTTGGTTTTCTAGGTCATCTCAAGATAACTTGGCTTGTTTGTTCACAAAGTCGTTCTCGCGCTTTCTCAGGGTTGGTCCTTCCACGAGTTGCAGGAAATGCCAGTAACTGTTGTCTTATTTATTGCATGGGCTTGGCAGCAAAGCCAAAAGGCATGGCATCATTTGTTTGCATCCTGCGGGTCAATCAGGCGGGGCCTTCTGTGCTCGCTCGCTTGGTGCATGTGCTTCGCTTCACGAAGGGAAGAAGGGAAGGCGTTCGGTTTTTTCATCCGTGTCTTTTGTACCAATCCTGTTATTTATTTATTTACTCATTTGTCTATGTATGTCGTTGATGCACGGCACTATTCTGGGCAGTGTACATATATTTTAAAAAATGACAACATGCCAACTAAATAAAACAGCTGGTCCCAAGGGGGGGGACCCCAAAACCCACCTACCCTAAAGCTTTCATGGGCTACGTGTGCTTCTTGTCTGGTTCTCATGCCAGGGAGAAGATGCCTCGAGGGGACGGCAGAGTCCCTCAGCGTCTTGCGCTTAAGGATTTAAATCTCCCCTGGCTTCTTCCTTGCAGGCGAGGGCGAGGGGACAGTCAAACCTTCTCCTCTTTTTTGCTTGCTTGCAAGGCCAAATTCATAGTGATGTTGCATGAAACTTGGGAGGATCGCTACCCGGAGTTTCATGGGGCTTCCGCTCTTTCAAGCTCTCGATGGGTTCTTCGCCTCTTTCTTCAAGCTAGTTCTTGCTGTGTGCACGTGTGTGTGTGTCTGTCTGTCTCTGTGCAGTTTTGTGCAAATTATGGAAGCCGTGATAACAACAGCGGCAACAACCGATTTCTCGCGGGGCTGTCAGGTTCCTCCTCCTTACGGGGCCATGTGAGTTTGGCAGCAAAGAGGTGCGGATGAGGCAGATAGCCAGTGGGCTTGGCCTCCCGGCTGCCGGCCTTGTTCTTCCTCGCACCCCGGCTCGACCGCCTTTCCCTGTTGTGTCCTTTCCTCTTTGGAGAAGCCCACGGCCTCGTCTGAGCTTGCTGTCCCTCCCACCCCTGTGAGGGAGGCCGTCCGTGTCCCGTTTTGCCTGCCCCCCTGTCCCGTTTTGCCTGCCCCCCCCGGGAAGCGAGGCTTGAGAGCAGAAGGGCAGGGCTTGGAGGCCCACCTTTGCTGGCCTGGGTCTCAGGGACTCTTCCCCCAGTGTTCGCCGTGGGGCTGCTTTCTCACAGTGGCCGCCTCTCCCCAACCTCCCCCCTTCATGTGCATGAACAAAGGGGGTGGCCCTTTCGCTCAGCGGCTTTGGACGCCCGGGCGGCGGTTCTGGATTAGCTGAGGCTGGCAACATGCATCGACCTGTGCGTGACGCTGAGAGCGGGCTTGGCTGGGGCTTTGCTGGGTCGCCTCTCCCTCCCGAGAGGGGGGAAATCGCCTTTCCCTTGCCTTTCTCTCAACCCTCCCTCTGTCTTCATCCCGCCTGTGCTTTGTATTCAGTGGCCAGACTTGCTGGATGACTTTCTCCCGACAGGGAAATTCATGCACATCATTTAAAACTGCATTTCTCCAAGTCTGAGCCTTTGTTTTCTCATTTTACTACTGCATCACTCCCCCTCCAAATGAGTCCCGGGCGGGGGTTGTTTCCTTGAACCCCTTTGTCCAAAACAGAAACCGTTCCAAGCTCTCCTTGGAGAGACGAGGCAGGGCCTTTCCTTCCATCCTGGGCGGCTCTCGCGTCAGCGCAGCTTCTGTCTCTTTCCCTCCTTCTCCCCACCCGTCTCCACCTTTCCAGGTCCTTCTCGCTCCCCTCAACCAGACCCCAGGAAGTCTGCAGATTCCTCTTGTCCAGAAATCAAAATCCACCTGGAACAATCAGATCAGCCATTGCCCCACCTGGTAAGTCCGCCCCCTGGGCCGTTGGGCATTCGAGGGCTGTCGCACGGAGGGAGAGGCCAAAGGTCCGTCTCAGCCTCGCACAGCAGCCAGGGAATTGGGACAGAAATGACTTCCTCTCCCGTCCCCATCGCTGCCGTGGTCGGTTCCCTGGCTTCTGCTCTCAGCTGCGGCTCAGACTTCCCACTAGGCCCTCGTTGCTGCTGATGAAACAGACAAACTAAAATTGCTAAAGTTAACAAAGATGGGTGTAGATGTTAAATTAATTAGGACCTAATTGAGTCACCAAGTTAAATCATTTTCGCAGAAGGTTGGGGCAGCCAGGGAAGAGGCTCCGGCCGGCTTTTCTCACCCCCCCACCCCCAATGCCTTGCTGTGGGGCTTGGTGTTTCCTTGCATGCGCTGATCTGTTCCTTGGCCATCTCGCCGTCTCTCCCGCCTGCGGGTGTCCTTTCTAACCTTGTCCCCCTCTTCTGTTTCTCTATCTGCCCAGAGCTGCTAGCCCTTCCTCCCAACCAGAGTCCATGGACGTGCCTCCCCCCACCCCACCAAGGTTAGCCCTTCTTTTGCTTCTCTTGGGTGGTTGCAATGAGGGAGCCGCCCTGCAAGGGAGGCCAGGCTGAGAGAAAGGGAGAACGACTCCTAAAGCCACGGATCGATTCTGCATTATTGGTGGGGGGGGCGGCGGGGTGTTTGGGTGCTTGATGGATCTTCCAGCCCTCTGCCATCCTCCCTTCTCCCCCCCCCCGCCCAATCCTTGTTTCTTGTGGTTCTTTCTGCTCCTTCCTTGGTCATCGCCCTCCATTTTTCCACTCAGTCCCCTCCCTAAAGGATTGTCCGGCTGTCTTTCGGGGCCACGTCTCCCCTCCACTGACTTCTTTCTCCTCCTCCCCTTCCCTCGTACAGCACACGGTGAAGAAGCACAAGCTGAGGGAGCTGCGGAAGGCCCCCTTCTTTGTCACGGTGCAGGACGACTGTCCGGCGGGCAAAACCGGCTTGCCCAGGCCTCCACCCTAACCGGCCGTTTCCTTCCCTCCTCCTTCTGGTCGCTTCCGTCTTGGCAGGGAAGGGAAGGGCCCCGAGGCGCCAGAGGGAGGCAGGAGGAGGGCTGGTGCGGCAGGCAGGCTGGCCGGCCTCAAGAGTGCTTGGGGTGTGACCCCCAACCAGCCGACCCTCATCCCTTCCATGAGCTGGGCTCAAGACTCCCACCC